CTATGTTATGGTATCTTATGTTATGCTTAAGGGAATTAGGCTACCTTTGTTTTGAAATTCATGATGCTAGCATAGACTGTATATAAAGGATGCCAAAAATTATCTTTTACCATAAAGCATTAATTGAGAGAGGCTACAGTAAGATATCCCCATTAAAATATCTCAGATATGTAAAAAAAAGAAGTACTACTATAAATTCTGCATGTATGTTCTAGTAAGAGCATACATGTAACACTGAGTAACCCCTTATAAGGATGATCTTGTTTGTTTTTGTGTTTTTCATTATCAGATACAAGCCCTCCTCACTGTGTGATGTGTGCCATTCTGTGGCTATTCTCATGCAAAACCTTTGTCTACATTAACACACTACACAAAAAACCATTTCACTGACACAATAATGTACATGTTTACGTTTGCATGGTATTTTGCAGCCTGGAAATGTTGCTTCTAAACAAAGATGACAGCAAACACAACAGAGGCAGCACAGGAAAAAAAACAAGAAGAGCGGATACCTTCGCTGTGGCCCAACAGTCCCCCTAATTTAATCAAGCTGCACCAAAGTGTACACAGTCATAAGTATCAGTTCTCTAAATATGTCTCACATCCTTTTATCAAGATCCATGAGTTCTTCCCTGGGAAAATGGTGAAAATTATGAAAATCATCCCATCTCATAATGTTTTATGGTTTAATAATTTAATATAATCAAAAATGTAATGAGTTTTTCTCTGACCATCACATCCGTCCGTCCGGTAGTTTTTGTGTAATGCTGCTAACTAACAGACAAACAAACAAACCAACGCTAATGAAAACAAAACCTCCTCAGCAGAAATAATCATGAGATTCAAATTAACTCCATTTAATGTATAATCCTAAATCAATATTAAACTAAGACTGACCAGATGCTCCGTCCTCTCACATCAATGTACCAATACAGCATCAATGTATTAAAATAAAGTTCAGAGCTTTGTCAGTTGCTAAAAATCTGAGCTATTTATTCAGTTTTCTCAAAGTGTAAATAATATCAGCTTAAAAGAATGGATGAATTTTAAGACTCTAAAGAATAATAAATAACAGATGGGGCCTCTCACGGAACATGGTATTGAACAGGACAAGACACAAAGAACAGAGGGCAGGAAAGGACACAGCAGGCATTCAATACTAAACCTCCTTTATACGGGATAAGACACTGAAATACCCAGGACAAAGAACAGGACAGGACACAAATTGGTCTAAAAACCTCCTGGCTGAGCTGCGGTGTGAGTCTATCCACGTGTACACATGTTTGTAACAAACCTGTTAAAAAGATGAGACCAGACAGGTCAACAGCAGGCTCTGTGGATGTAAACACTAAGTGACGACAAGTGATTTCAATCTACAGTTTAAAGGTTCCCATTGGACTTGATTTTTCTTTTTTTTTTAAACTGGCACCCATGTTTCCCCTTTTTATCTATGCAGACCTGTGGGTCTCCTGTAACACAACCTGCAGGAGTGACGGAGGGGTATTTAAGGCCATATCAACACTACAAAAAGAGCTGCGGGTTTACAAGAACAGGACAAGCACATTACCTTCAGACAATGCAGCACTGCCTCCAATCCCGTGCTCCCTTTCACTCACTACATCCCACCCCCTTGGGGTTAGCAGACCTTCCTTCATGTTCAAAGATTATCTGTTAATCCAAAATGTGCAGGAGCATGAGATGACAGGAAAGGGACCAATACTCTGGGGGGAGGGAGGGATGCATTGCTTTATTTGTTTGTTGGCTTTCATATTAATCCATTGGAACACAGTGCCCCCC